ATTTAAAAAGATACAGGTCAAAAACATAATTGATTAATGCGTGCGCTTACAAGCAAAAGGCACTAAGACAAAAATTTGTCAAAATGGGTTTATATTTTTGTATATCATGTAAAAACAGTGCATTCTATTCCGAAAGTATGTCATTTTCTTTGAAGCAGTTGATAATCACTAAATAATTTATAAAAAAATTAGAACTTGAATGAAATTTTAAATTGCTCATAACTCATAAATTTACTCTTTGACTCAAAGCCATTTGCTTGAAAAATCATGTTATGAAAGTTCCAAAAGTGAATTTAGTAGGTCTTAGTGGAAAAAGTTTTGTGAGGTTGACAAATCAATTATAGTAAAATTAAATTTAAAAGATACAAATATTGAAGTGCAATTATTAGTGGTATAAAATATGGAGTACATTTTATTAGATTCGCACGAATTTCAAAAACACAACATGAATATAAATTATGGAAAACAATCGGATAAAAGAAAAATGAAGAAAATTGAAGAAGGAAGATATACAAAAAGCAAGTCTTTAAAGAAGAATAAATAATTAGTACGGATAAAATGAAGTGGAAGTTGAAGAAATAATGATAAATGAAGTAGAAGATGAAGAAGGTGATAGAAATTGGTATAAAAAAGTATGTTTAAATTGCCGTAAAAAAAGTGAAGAAGTTTATAATTTATTGAAGAAATATGAAAAATAGTTCAACAAACAACCTAGAGTTGCTAACGACTTTATACAAGAATACATTTAAAGGAAAAATTTCCCAATTTCATATATATACAAAGATATGAAAGAAGCAATTAAGAAACTAATAAAAATGAAATAAATGAACACAGTACTACCATAGTGATTGTAAAGAAAAGTTGGTGATGTAAGAATTTGCTTGGACGCTCGAGTATTAAATACATGTTGCTTACCTAAATACGAAGCACCCCTGACCATAGAGGCAGCATATCAAACATTTTCCTCAAAACTAGACGTGAAGTATATTTTTTGGCTCACACCACTATACAGTAGAGATTACATGGGTTTCATAGTAGATAGAAGAAAGTCATCAGATTTAAAGTTGCACCATTTGGAACGCAATCAGCGACATCTGTGAAAGCTCTTCAGTTTCTTTTACATTACATAGATGACATCTTAATTTTCTCTGAATACGAGGCATCTAAAACATCTGGACATTGTTTTGAAAGCACTGGATGAAGCTGAGCTGAAATTAAACATAAACAAATGTGAATTTTTTAAAGGAGAAGTCATATATTTAGGGTATAAGATATATTAAGAAGGGGTAAACATAGAATAAGATTAGGTAAAAATTATTAAAAAATACAGAAGACTGAGAGAATTTCTCGGCTTTTTACATTATTTTAAAACCTAATCCCTGACCTGACTGAAAATGAAATTCCATTGATAGAACTTCTTAGAAAGAATGTGAGATGGCAATAGAATAGAATATCAAGGTATATCACCCCGATTATACCAAAACGTTTATCCTAAGGACTGACGCATCACAAAATAAAATTGCTGGCAGTATACAGGTCCAACATAATGGATTTGTCCCTATATCTTTTATTTCTAGGATCACGAAAGAGGCTGAGAAGAACTACAATGTTAGCGAGCTAGAACTAGCAAGTTTCCTATTTTGTTCAAGCAAACTTAGATTTTTCCTATTAGGTAATAAATTTTTCAATCGCTCACGACTATTCTCAAGAACAAGTACAGAAACAACAAGATACATAGATGGGCTCTACTACTTCAATAATATTCCTTCGACATAAAGTATGTGCCTGAAGTAAAAAATGTAGTCCCAGGCGCCTTAACACTAATGGCTGGAGAGGAACTGAGAGAAAAAATAGTAACAAAATCATTAGGATAAACATTATGAAAGAAGAAATAAGATTATTTTCTATTAGAAACAATCACAGAAAATCAAAAAGCTTTACCAGAGAAAGAAAAAAGAAACTGTGCATATAAAAATAAAGTAGCATGTAAATTAGTTAATAATAACGAACTGTACATAGTAACAAAAATGTTATCTAGTGAAATTATTAAACAACTTCATCTAAGGTAGGGGTAAGAAAACTACATAATATTTTAGGACAGATCTGTCAATAACCAAAGAAATAGTCACAAGATGCGAACTTTCTCAATTGGGAAAAGAAAAATATTATCACAATGAAAACATTCCAAAAATACTTGGAATTAATAACTATGGATTTCGTTTTCAACTTAGTATCCCGTATTGAGTTTAAAGGCAATGAAAACATGTCTGACGAAATATTTCATGGATATAGGCATACCAGACAAATGGGAAAAATACGCAAAGATGAACTGGCCAATTTTTTTCGTTTTTTTTTTACCATTTTAGACCCTATAAAACACATTTTTGAATACATTTTCCTTATGACAGACCATGGATTCCGAAAAATCTAGAAGAATACGAGAAGAAAATTGAAGAAACAAACAAATAAAGAAGGGAACGACTTTCAAACAAGGAGAATTAATGATAATAAAAGATCTCAGGTTACCTAATCGTAAGAAAAATAAATGTTTTAAAACTACAATTAAATTCCCTTACCTGATGTCAAACTGTGTAAATAGTTATAAACTGGGATATCCGGTAACTGGCAACATAAGAAGAATTTTCCCCGTGGACAGGCTATATCGATTTTTCCCTGAATCTAATGAAAATTCTTGGGGGAATACCTATATAAAAAAAGAAGTATTATTAAAAAGTAATAAAGTTCTGAGAAAGTGTGTACAAACGAAATGCTTTAAAATTGCTAATTTAAGAATGAATTTTGATAAAACTAGGCATACTTCAAGCGAAATAAGACAATAAATATTCAAATGTAATTTGATAAAAGGATATATGACTTATTATTAATGAAAAAAAAAAAGTAGTGAATTTTGTTGTTGTAAAAGATAACTCAAATTAAAATTTTTGTATTGCTTAATTTAAAAAGCACAATATATACGAATATATTCAAGAACAGTAATAATTAAAAAAAAAAACGTAATACGTTATATAATCAAAGCACATAAAATCAAAATTTCTCAAAGATTCTCTTCAGTATGGGTATGAGATTTTTAATAATATATATTTTTCATTTTATTTTTTATTGGTTCTTCTTCCAGTTATATTTTTTATTATACATTTTATAAAATAACAAATTGTTATAGAAATATTAGTTTTTGTTTTAATAGATTTACTATTTTTTTAATTTTATTTAGTACTTTGTTTTGTTAGGGGAAACAAGTACTTTTGTAGTAGAGTTTAAAAATTGACCCTATTGTGTCGCCTATTCGTCCACAAATCGTGTGCTGGGGTGGTTTTCCAAAAAATTTAATAAATTAACAGCAGTTAAATATAACAATAAATATGATCTGATCATTTCAAAAAGCTATCACATATTATGGGTGCTTGTAGAGTCGGTGTTGAATCTTCTATTTCTGTAAATAATATAAATAATTGGTAAATAAATAAATAAATAAATCAGAATTTATTAATATTTTTATCTTACAGACTCGAAATTGTCTTCACTACCAGATAACATATTCTGGGAAGCATTTGTGATTTTTAAGAATAAATGGTTTTTAATTGATGTTTTTAAATATATTTTAAAATTTGCAGGTAACTTTTCAAAGTATAATTCCTATTTATCTATCCGTGGCTGTAAATTTAATTTGGGACAATCCTGGTTTAAGAAAATTCAAGGAGTTGGCTTATCAGTTCCATATCAAATTAAGTCAGGCCAATATGTTGAAATTACTTAGTTTTTGACATATATTTGGTTTACCTTTGCTTGACCCTAAAGATGTTGGGAAGTTTACATTTTTGACTTGGCTAAAATCAAGCCAGAAAACGACAGAATAACCCAATTTTTTAAAGAAAATAATATACTGTACATTTCCGCCACATAAACCTTACAAAAAACAACAAATGCATGTGAATCATTTCACTCTAGGTATAACCAATCCTTCTACTGTACTCTCCCCAACATAAACGTATTTTTAGATGTACTTTTACAATTTCAAATAGATATATACATAAAAATAAATATAGTTTAGATATTATACCAAAATATCACACCAATATATTAAATCTATTAAGAGATTTTAATTGATTATTACTGGCTGTGAAAATTATCTACATGGAAATAATAATTCTTTGAAATGAAATACAATTAATATACAGGATGTTAATTTGAAAACTTCCAACCTTTTAATATCTTTCTTCCAGTAAATAACATTAAAAATCGGAAAAAAACATAAATTATTGTATTTTCAAGGAAGACACTTTCAATAAATTTGTGGTTCAACCCCCCAGGAGGGGTTGATGTAGCGCTTGGACTCTTAAATGGGAAGGGGATCAGTGGCACATTATTTTAAAGGTAATTTGGAGAATTCTGCACTATGATTTTAATTACTTTAATTTCGATTTAAGCGCCCTCTAGCGGGATAAAAACTTGTGTATTGTAAAGTGTGGCCACTTAATTTAAAATCTAATTTTATTAGTAATTTAATTAACAATATAACAAAACATTAACTTTAATAATTTAAGGACATTTATTGTAAAATTGTAACATACTGTACATTTTCAAACTCCTGTTGTTTCCTTGGATGTAAACGAAATATTTCTGAAATCTATAAATGATTAAGATTAAAGTAATCTTGTAATGTTTGTGCCAGTTCTTGAAAAAATGTTAATTTCGGATGGTTAGATGTTATTTTATTTAGGTCCTACGAAATGTAAAAAATAAGAGACCTTGCTTGTTTAAGGTAATCTAAAAATTTCGCAAGTACCTTCAAAATTTTTGGGTTTTTTTTTTGTGGAAGCATTTTGAGGAATTGATTACAAAAATTTTAGAGTCATTAGTGAAAATGTAAATTCTAATTATCTTCGGAAAAAAGTATGTAGCGCACACCCTATTATTTTTTCGTGAAATAAAAAGCACAATCATCTTTATATTTTCATATTCAGAATATAAATACAATATTACTATAATTAAATAAATTTCAAAGAAACCTAACGTTACTACATACAGTCAATGTAAATCGCAAAATGCGTAATTTCACTTTTTTCTGGAATGCAGATTATAACTCCATATGTGTAGTAGCAACTAAGAAATGCTTTTTTTTATTCATCCAAATTAAATTATTTCTAACTTTTTTGGCTCTACTGTAGAATTTTCCTTAAATGGAGTTACGCACTTTGCAATTTACAGTGACGATACTTAGTTCAACCATAATAGTTCGCGGGAAATATGCATAATGATAAAATAATTTTAATAAAACAACAAAAATCAACTAGAATGAAAATTATTTTTTTTTATTAGGTATTAAGACTTCCTAAGCGTGGGTTAACTTTTATCTAACTTCTTTTTTAAAAATAATCAACAGCAACAGAATATTTTATTTGATTCATTCAACGTTTTGGACTCTTCCTGTTATAAATTAATTATTAAGTTTAGTAGTTCATCTGTCCTATACTCATTAATTATCGTAGGTTGTTGTTAATTTTTAATGTCTTGAAAGCTGCAGATCAACTGATGTCTTCCATACATACTTCTCCTTTTTTTATTAATAAAACTGCGTTTCACAGTAAAATAGGGAAGTCAAGGACAATTAATATCTGGAATGCCACAATGGTCTTTTTGGTGAACCTCTCATACATAATATACATATTTTTCAGTGGCACATGTTCTTAATAGTTGTATATGAATTATATCGATCGAAGCGAATGCCTATTATGATGGAAGGTAGTGTTGTTTTATATAGCCGTGGGATATAAATTAATTCTGTTGCATTGTCGATTTTTAAAAACAGAGAAATTAAAAAAATATTACCAACCTCTGACTTAACCAACTGGTTTCTTCAAGCTATTATAAATAAGTCTATTTTGCGTCTTTTGAACAAATCTATTAAAGCTGCAAAGTCTAGTTAATATTAGGCTTCCTGTACTTTCTTTTTTTTTTAGTATTAAAAAATGGTAAAACCGAGTGGAACCGTCACTAACCTTATTTTTTAGTTTAAAATGTAATAATTGTGCATATAATTCGGAATTTTTGTGATGATTTGATTTCAACGATAGAAGTTTTACTAGTTCCAAGCGAACATTAACCCAAAGAGCTTTATTTCATCAATATTTATTATAATGGTTTTAAGAACTGCCTTTTATTCTTTTCAATATATTTTTTGTAAGGTAAAGGGAATAGCTTTACTATTTGAATGCCAGATAATAATGAAAAACCTCAAATAGAAACTTAATTAATAAAAAAAATGTAAATTTTAATAGCCTTTCTAAATATCATACATCTAAACGTAACCATCTGTTTATTTTGAGTTAATTTTGTATAATTTTTATTCCAAAAACTCTCCATCTTCGAGCACCGTTTGTTCCAAATTTTAACAAAATTACCCCAATATTTACCCCCAGAAAATTAAGCATAGACGGCATACAAAATTAATCATAAAGTAAGTACACTCAAAACTGGTTACAGAAAAAAATATCCCAAAGATTTACCCCAACAGAATGCTCCTCAAAATATTATTAATCAAATCACTATACGCCTTTTTAAATATGAAGTTTGTCATGTCTAGTTTTTATTTAGCACCTAAATGGAGAATGTTTAGAGCACCTTCTGTAATAATTTCTAGTTCAGTATCGTCACAATTTATTAACTTTGAAGATGTAATAGAATACTTTATTTTATTTAATTTCAAATTATTGCGTGATGCGTGGCATAAGACCTTAAGGGGTCTATTCTGTAATGTTTTAGTTAATTTTAACCACCAGGTGAAAAGGTTTTTTATAACTACTAAATTCAGAATATTGATGGAAATTCCAAAAGAAAAATTATGTGGAAATGGGATATTTCAAAAGACAGACGAAAAAGTTCAAGAATAATATTCAAAAAGTAATTAAAAAAGTTTTTGAAGAATGTTAGGACGATGAAAAGGATTTTACTAGTAATGAAAATGACTATTTGGAAAAACTAGTTGAAGAAGAAAGTATAGAAATAAAACAGGAAAGCGATATAGATAATTCAACGATATTAAAATAGTGGAAGTAAAAATGATGTTGGAAGAAAGATCGTTTGAAGTTGTTTATCTAAGGAATAATCATAAAGAAGTAATTTTTGATTTAAAAAGCACAATTCGCTCTTTATAAGAATGTATTTTATTGTTTTAAATATCAAAATTCATTATTTATGAGAGTAAAAAAGGCAATTCATTGACACGTCGCCTTTGCAGGTAAAAATAGCAAAAAGGCACAAAAAGTTGAGGGCAGGTATTATTGGAAATACCCAAAGTATCTATACAATAGATTAAAGGTAATTATATAAATAACTTTTTAATTACTACAGAATTTGTTGAATTTATTTACGTTTCTGTAAGAGCTAAAATAAATTCTGTTAAAAGTTTAACAACACAGATTCATCAATGTCTTTGATGCGTAAACATTTATTTCTTAAAAAAAATTGGAAATCATCGCAGAAATTGAAAAATTTACTACCCGTGCACGAAAGTTAGCAGAAAAGTAAATGATATTTCAAAAAGTAAAATTGAAACAACTTGTCAAAGAAGGAGGATTTAATGCTGGTCAAAAACAGACGGACTTGCTATTGGTTTTGCATAGCTAGAAATTTAAAGAATTAGTGATTTGACACTTGTATTTTCAACATCGTAACAAAGTGTAAGGGTGAAGTAGCAAAAATTAAAATTAATAATTTAAAACAGACTTCAATTGAACAATTTTTTGTTGTACGGTATTGAGCTTATTATATACGTGAAATTATCTGTGTAACTAGAATTTCTCACTAATTAATAAAGTTGTAATTGACTTCAAAACAAAAAACATATGGACGATGTGAATATAATAATTAGGAATTCTCTTTTACTATAGAGACATCTTTTTCTTATTAATAAAAAATATAATTTCTCTTCTTTGTGCAAGTACATAATATGTTATAAGTACACATAAGTAAATACTCCATTTTATTGAGATCAAACATTGTAAATAATATATTTTAATTATTCCCCACATAAGCGGTCACCCCCCTTAAACGGCCAATTTGTAACGACATTTTTAATGGCTGCTATTGAGGTTAGTTGTACGATTGCAGATTTAATGGGATCCAAATAACATACTAAAAGATTTTTAGAATGTTGACAAAGAAAAAAAATTTATTTACTACATCGATACTTTTTTAAATAATATTATATTTACTAGTAAAAGCTCCTTAAAATAACAAAAAAAAAAACCGCGTTATAAAACCATACATTTCGTTAGTTGGCAAGAACAACGACACAATTAAAAATAGTCCATTTTATGAATTATAAAAAAGCAACTTACGTCATTGTTGCCTAAATTTAACTGGACTTCATAAAAACAAACATTATATTATAAAAAATAGAACTTGAATTATAATTCTAATTTTTAAAAAGAATATCCCGAATTATTGCGATATAACGCTCGATATAACGCGTCTGTGTTTTAGTGAATAGATCTTTGACATCAACACATTGGAATTGTTTCTCTCAAATGAATAATGGCGCTAATTTTGTTTAGAGAACATCATTTTTCACGATAAAATTAAGTGATCTCGGATCATTCTGTATTTAAAAAAAAATTAAATTGCTTCGGTATTCTCGCAAACCAACGATACGAGTATTATTTACGCTCTTTCCAGTTAAGACGCCCGCCGTATTATCTAGTTGACTTTTGCAAATGAAAAATGAGTAGCAATAAAATAATATTGACAAGTACAGTTGAATAAATTGTAATTAATTATTTTAAAAATGATTATTAGTGGCCTGGTATGGGTTTCAGCTCCTTTATCTGCCTGATTAGGTACGCCTTTTCGTCGTTGAATTGTTCGTCTTCTGCTCGATCCGTATGGAATTTGATCAGAAATTCTACAAGTTTCTCTTGGTTACGTAATAAAATATCTAGTATCGGTTTGGGTTTGTTGGGATTGGCCACAAAGACCTGAAAAACAGTTAAAAGAATTTTTTTTTAAAAAGAATAATTTTTTCAAAAACAAATAAAACTTCTTTTGGTATGATCGGTTTGAGCTATAGGGATATTTTTACAGTGTTTAATAATAATATTATTATTATTAGCCTTCATTGCTCAACAGATATAAATCTCTTTACAGAATAACTTGGAATCATATGGAAAACTTTTTTATTATTAATTTTAGGGAAAAAAGTTATTCTTCATAAAAAGTTGTGCATTATCTAAAACCTAGAACACAGTCATCAAATATCAAATTTTTTCAGTGGTATACGAGGTTTGTCAAAAAATCACGTATAAACAAAAATTATAGAGATCGATATCGCAAACAACTTTTAGTTCAACAATTTTCATAAAAATCAGAATTTTGCACATTTTGTTAAATTTCTCGAATACGGACCATTTCAGGAAAATTTGACATAAAACAAAAATTATAGATAATAATATTAGAAGTAACTTTTATTTAAACAATTTCTTCTCCAAACATAAATAACAGATATATTCCATAAAATATAAAAACGTCCTCCCATAAAGTACCCCCCCAGATGTTCCGACTTTGTCCAAAATCTAATCATTTCACGTTAACCCGAAGTAAAACCTAAGTTTAAAATTTAATGGTTTTTTCTTTATCCGTTTTTGAGTTTTCTTCAAAATTCGAAATTTACACATTTTCTCAAATATCTCGAATACGGTCCATTTTAGAGAAATTATGTATAGGATAAAAATTATAGAGAATTATATTACAAACAACTTTTATTTGAACAATTTTTATAAAAAATGATTTTTTTTACATTTTGTCAAATTTCTCGAATACGGACCATTTTAGGAAAATTTTGTGTAGAACAAAAGTTATAGATAATAATATTAAAAGTAACTTTTATTTCAAGAATTTTCTTCTCCAAATGTAAATAACGGATATATTCCATAAAATATAAAAACGTCCTCCCATAAAGTACCCCCCCAGATGTTCCGACTTTGTCCAAAATCTAATCATTTCACGTTAACCCGAAGTAAAACCTAAGTTTAAAATTTAATGGTTTTTTCTTTATCCGTTTTTGAGTTTTCTTCAAATTTCGAAATTTACACATTTTCTCAAATATCTCGAATACGGTCCATTTTAGAGAAATTATGTATAGGATAAAAATTATAGAGAATTATATTACAAACAACTTTTATTTGAACAATTTTTATAAAAAATGATTTTTTTTACATTTTGTCAATTTCTCGAATACGGACCATTTTAGGAAAATTTTGTGTAGAACAAAAGTTATAGATAATAATATTAAAAGTAACTTTTATTTGAAGAATTTTCTTCTCCAAATGTAAATAACGGATATATTCCATAAAATATAAAAATGAACACCTATAAAGTACCCCCCCACATGTTCCGACTCTGTCCAAAATCTAATCAGTTCATTGGACGCTGGAATAAAGTTTAAGTTTAAAATTTGGTGTTTTTCTGTGTATCAGTCCATAAGTTATTGTGGAGACAGACACAATCGCGAAAATGGTCAAAACGGATTCAGGGGACCTCAAAATGTAAAAATCCGTCGAAAACTCAAGGTCGAATAAAATCATGATTCCTATACTTTCCTTATATCTGTATACAGATAGGAAAGTAAAAATGTCTTAAAAATCATTAAATATTGGAAAAATATCTTGTGGATACTTATTTAATTACCTTAAATACATGGAAAGCTTCAAACTGAATATTTCTGGATCTCTCTTTAAGCATATTCATCATTAGTTTCAGATTGTCAGGATTTGAAATATACCTGGTCATAACCTACAAAAAAAATACAATTATATATTGTATCTACATGCAGTTTAGCCCATTAGTATTAAGAAATCTTTAGTTTCTTTTAGTATTTAACAATTATTAAAATAAAAATTTGTCAAAAACTCTCTTTTAGAACCTACAGTATAATACAAATATATTGGGTGTTCAATTTGGAAAAAAAGAAAGTGGGGGAATAAAATCACCTGTAGGACATAAAAATAAACTTTTAATCCTCTCAGATGTTTCAGTTAACCCTTATCAATTGGAATTAAGTGAAAACACTACAGCATGCAGTTTGTTTTCATTGGCATGTTGTGATAAAAAATTAATGTCATTGGTTGATGTATTTAATGTTACATAATCAGACAAATAATTTTAGTTTTTACTGAACAAGAATTATAAAATTTTTGCCAAGAATATTTTTCCTATTTTTTACAGTTTCCTCAATACTACCTATATTTCACAGTAAAAAAAAATAGTTGACTTTTCAAACTTAATATCAAATAAATAATATTTATCAATTATTCTGTTGACTTTATGTATTTGATCTGTTAAACCTTTTTTGTAATTTCTCTCCCTTACCAGCCAATTAATTTTCTTTCTTTCTAGGTCTGATGATGATTCAGTGAGGTCAAAACTAGTAGAAGTGCACAACTTTATAAATAAATTTACTGTGACCAAGACTTTGAGTATTTTTTTGTTGTATCTAATTAAATAAATGTTCTTTGTAACTAATTATAAAATTAATCAGAATCAATCATTGCCATAAAAAAATTCAATACCTCATTGTATTGTAAACAAAGCATTATAATTTATCATTCACTAATTTTATGATTAAGCTATCTAGTTGTACCTAATAGCAGTGATATGATAAATTTCAATGAACAGGTAAGTATCATGTTTCATTATCAGGTGATCCAGATAACAACAATTTTTATAAACTTACTGTAAAATTGTGCCTATCCAATAGTAATTCACCAAGGAGCTTTAAACTCTGACGCCGAGTCACATAGTTCTCAGAATTAAGCAGTCTCTGGTAGTGGTTAAAAACCTTATCATAGTTGGTTTCTAAGAAGTCAGCACATAATATTTTGTGTCTGGTTAATAATTCCTAAAAAAAAAAACAATGATTAAATGATTCAGTTATTTGTATTCAATTTGATACCTACCTTAAAAGTAGAGAATGCATCTGAAGCTATATCAAAAGTGGAAACTTCAACATATCGAAAAAAGTTATAAAAGTCTTCTGAATATAACATTATTTTAGCCAATGCTTCATATCTAGCACATTCACGTAACATAGTACCACAGTTTAATGCTATTTCCTGATGTTCATATCTGAAAAATAATGTTAAGATCCTTAATCAATTCAACTCAAAAGTTTCAAAGAATTACATGCTTGCTAACAATATAAAAGTTAGACCATAAAAAACAAAATTTAAAAGTGTGTTATATAATTATAGTAAAATAAAAAACAAAAATGTATTTATTTATGTAATTACAAAAAAAATACAGACATTTAAAAATAGTAAATAAAATTATGTTCTGCCAACTCCATCTGGATTTACTTTATAGTCCCTTTTTTGTATAATAAAAATTTCATAATCCTGAAGTTGTTTCTCCAAAACTGTCGTTTTAGAATATGAGACTATTAAATCAAAGTAAGTATGGATATCTTGCTTCTTATAAATTAAACTTATAAGCAAATGTTCTAACAGCAAAGTAACCCAAAGCTTAAAACTTTAATATGTTATCCTCTATTTAAATCCTGGGTGCTCTCACTATCCACTATTGGCAGTTTTATGGATGTATTTCTCTTGGCAATTACCCCCAAGTGAAAAAAGTAATTAACTTATGTTGTGAAGTCCAAATACAAACTATGTATATCCCTTTATGTTTATAATTCAAGTATTATCATGAGGTGTTAATAAGTTTAAAGATATATAGATTTTAATTCACTTGAAGGTATCCAATCGCTGAGATATAACTGTATGATATAGCCCAAAAAAAGAAAAAGAATAATAAGGAAAGTTTCATGCATTATTAGGTTTACAATCTAAAATTCGATTCAATTAAAGTTGATTTACTTGCTATTACTTAAGGCATCATGTAAAAAATTAATAATACTAACCCAGTCATTAGTGTAAACAATATTTCAGGTTTGGTACAGATGTATTCTACTGTAGGCGATCTCGTACCAATTTGACGTCTTAATATATTGTTAAACACTTGTGCTACATCCTTCTTGCCCTCGAAGTCGATCCGGTTCAAGTTTTGTATTAAAAGTAACAACAGATTACTATTGTAAAGTTCTTGGGCCAATTGCGCCACTATGATGTCAGCTTGAGGCTCCGCATCTGAAGTACCATACAGCATGTTCTTTATTAAAACAAGATTTTTAGACACGTCTTCTTGCGCCTTTTCGGCCTTCTTATCGCCCTTTTCCAGAGAATTAACGGCTTCCTTAAGGGCTTTTACGACATCTGCGGGACCTTTCTGAGACTTCCCAAAGAGAGGCATCGTTTCCGATTTTGTAAATTTATTAAGCACGTAGTTTGTTAGACGAAAATAATTATTATTAAACAATAACTAATGATGAAATGGAACACCTTGTTTTCAAACGAATAAAAATTTTACTTCACTCATTACAGACGGATCTTCTTTAAATTGAAATAACACTTGTGGAAGACACATCTGACAACGGCACTTAGTTTTCCATCGAAAGTTGGAATTATATTTAGGAAAATCTGGCGAAATTACATTTATTAATGTTTTTTTTTAGTTTTCACTACCACAAATCTCCAGGCCTCTTCTTTCTTGTATTATTTTTAAAGTTATTCAGTTACTTGACATTAGATGTCATCTGTCAGAAAATTAGTCATCCGATCATGTATCATATATGACTAGACTAGCAATTATTAGTTATTCATATGATGCACACATTAAATGTCAACAATACCTCTTCAATCAGTGGCGTACTCGTATAGATCAAAAATGACAAAAAAATTCGAAGCTGTTAAAAAAAATAGTAATTTTGATTATTACACCGTATGTTGCTTCTATCATATAAATAGTAGATACATAACGCATTTCCTGTACTAAAAAAATGTTTTGTTTAATCACCTCGAAAATATTTCCGCAAATGTTTTTTTTCCAAACTAGACATAGATGGGTGAAATAAAAAATTAAAAGGTCTGAAAAATATTATTGAAAATTGATTAATAAAATACGTAGTTCATTAAATTTAAGTACAAAAATACCGTTGCAATGTAAATGGGAAGTAATTAACTTTCCAAATAACTTTATAGAAATAACTTGATTGCATAAGATAAGTTTTGGTTTTGATGCAAAGGTATATACAGGAATCTGGAGCAGTAACATTTTCATGTTGAATGTGCCCTTGATTTCTGACTGTATTAATAATTTTTCATAGATATGTTCAAACTGCCAAGATGTTGGATTATTTGAACTACTACCGTCAAACGGGGTTAAGTGAATCATAGTGGGTAAAATGAATCACTGGACACTTTTTGGAAAATCGGCAATGTTGTCATCGAAAGCTTTAAGTTTATTCCATGGACGTAGTACCGAGTGTTTTGTTGCGTTTAAGTAGACTGGTAAGTTACACGAAAAGTTTATGGGATCAACGATTTTTTGTTTATTTATGAAATATTAAAAACGACACAGTGTAGAACTCATTGTTTTGAAATTTAATTTGTTTAAATAAAATAAATGTATTTATTAGGTAGTTAGCAATATAATATTAATATATTTCATGTCGTAATATTTGTAGTAAAGTTGTCACTTTTTTTTTAATAAAAAAAAGCCAGTAAAAGGGGTAAAGTGAATCACTCATATTTTTGTAATATTTGGGTTGCATTGTATAAATTGTTTATTTTTATTCTGTCATATAATAAAATTGTGCTGTTTTTGTATTTTTATTAATATATTTTTTTAGTTTCAGCATGCCAAGGGTGTATAAAAAAAAGTTGGGACCACGAGGAAAATGTAATTATGATCCGGTGTTGTTGTCCTGGCATTGGCAGAGGTTCGACGCGTAATGTCTATAAGAGAAGCTTCAGAACAGTTTGGCGTTCCTTTTAGCACAATTCAAAGAAGGTATCATGGAAAAAACCCTTAAAATATGGTCGGCAGACTGCACTAACTGAAGATCAGGAAACTAGACTAAAGAAAACCCTAGTAATTTGTGCCGAGTGGGGATTTCCGTTAAAATGTACGGACGTTAGGACAATTGTGCAACAATATTTAAACGAAATTGGAATGACAGAAAAAAGATTTAAAGAGAATATGCCAGGAGTCGACTGGTTTAAAATCTTTATGAGCAGACATAGAGACCTTACTTTTAAATTGGCAGAAAATATGAAGCGCGTTAGAGGAGCTTTAACTTATGACGTTTTTTTTTACTCTAAATTGATTCATTTTACCCATAGACATTTTAAAATGAGTTTTAATACAATTTAGATGCATGATTCACTTTACCCCAAAGTAGAGGGTAAAGTGAGTCACTCTTTAACAAAAAAATTTATATATTTCTGTTTTTTCAAAAAAACATGATTTATTATTAGAACCACTCGTAATGAGTGTCACAACCTTCAATATTTTTTGTATATTTTTAGTTTCCTTATCTTTGGAGAAAAGATAAAAAAACGTGTTTTTTTGATTCACTTAACCCCGTTTGACGGTACCTTTAACATTTAAATGGTCTTGACAACATATATAAGATGGTTACATATGTTCATCGTATATTCCTGTAGATACTTTCAATATTCATCCAAAATCCCGTTTTATTTAACCTTTTAATGCAGATACACCGTTTGTTTAAAAATATGATACTTATTTGAATGGCTCACTGCCAGAGTTGCCTTACCAAACAAAATTGCAAAACAACCTTTTTTCTTACAATATTATTTTAAAATTATTTCTGTACGTGTCTATTCCTAAAAAAATTGTGTTTTCAGTTGCAACAACTATACCTAAAGATTATGCAGTTACCAGTCAGGGGGTTAGGTACTTTAAATTGTTGACTTCCGCCATATCAGAAACATGTTGTCGGTTTAAATCAACTATTGCGTCGGTTAAATGCGCCCATTGTATAATATGATCAAAGGTGTGTTGGTGTGTTGTAGAAGGGGGTAATACATAGAGGTATCATGTTTAAAAAATATATTTCCTGACTTAAAAACATACATGGAATTTTCTCATACTCGTATACACCATTAAAACGCAATATTACATTTCATAGTATGTAACTTTGATTCCATCACTATTAGTCTCTTCATTGGATGACGTCATTTTTCGTTTCATTTGCTGCGAAAGACTCTTTTCAGGACACAGTGGGCCGCCCATGCATGGCGGCCAGTTACTAAGTTTCCTGCTTCTAGATCTGGAATGAAGTTCCTTGCTGCTCGTGTTTGATGATGCTGTCCAATCGGTACAAGGGGTCAAAGTAGATGAACGCATTGCTACGGGCACGTCTAAATTTTTGCTAATTTCAAATGAATCATCACAAACTAAAAAAAAAAAAAAATAAATAGTACCTAGAGAGGTCGAGTCACTAAACCTCTCTTATTTTGACATCAGAGCATGCGCATATAATTTAAGTTGTAAGACTGACTTTATTAAAAATAGAGCCTGTGGAAATATAAAGACAACAAATTGTGGCGAAGTATAAGGTTAGCTAACTTCTTGGCTAGTGAATCAGCAAGACGGTTACCTTTCGATGTGACGAGACCTTTGATCCATCTTAAGGTGGCCACATTGTTGGTGGATACATCGGCCAAAGCTTCGCGACATTCTAGTCTAACCCTGAGTAAATTCGTGGTCTGTCCAGGGTGAGTACTGTTTGTCTGCTGTTTTAGATTTAGAACCATCGGTGTAGGTATGATTCGTACCTGCCACTTCCAGCTCTTCTATTTTTCTAATATTCTGTATTTTTTTTTATAGAAGATTTGGAAAGAAAAATTTAATGGTAGAAGTGATATTTCAATATCATCTAAATCTACAGTAAATTTCAGCATTTGGGCAAAGCAAAAAAAGGTCTAAACATACTTCGACATATTATTTTTTTCGAAACGTCACTACCATTTTTTTGGTTCAACGTAAATTGCGTTTGTTCTGGCTTCTTCAAAATTTGCTTCAAAGCGTCCGAATTCCAATGGAACAGTTTAATACCAAATTATTTTTCACGTACAACTTGATCAAATATAGTAGTCCTTAGTTTTATTTTGTAGTTATTCAATGATTGTCCAACTTCAGCTTCAACTTGTACAGAAAAAGTCCTGTATTTACTCATTGCAATGTTAGATCTTTTTCGATATCAGTGTTTAAAACTGTTTAAAATCAGATTGTGACCACTGATAATACAAATATTTACTACTACAAACTAGAGTCCAATATAAGGGTGGCTCATGTTCAATAGAGGCGAGTGAAGCTCTCAAATCAAAATACATTGTGAAGTAGTTGGTATAAAACTCGGCTTTTACCTGGCCTAGAAATAATTAATGAATACTTACGTGAATTTTTTGTCATATACAACTGATTTGTCAAAGATGTAGTATGTTCTTGAACGTGATGTATCTGAATTTGCGAAAAATGTGTATCCATTATGTTATCGTCGACTATATAAAAATATTTCGGTATACTATTAATTCGATTGCTGATAAAATTATATAACGTAAAATTGGAAAATATTACCAACAACGTTGTACATACAAGAACGAGCCAAATTTTCCATCCTAGGGCTAAAAAAATTATAAATAAAGTTTTATTTTATTATTATGCATAAAAACAGGATGTTATTGTAATGGCTAATTACACATTCAGTCACTCAGTAGGTATAAAGCAAGATTAGGTGCTTACAGATTAGGGAACACCTTGGGAAATAACATTAGAACAGATCACATAATTATCAAAAGGTTAGTGATAGGGAATGTGCTAGACATGAGAACAGGATCACATAACCACATAACCGCACGTTACTCCCTCAACACTCCAGTCGAGGTTTTAATACAAAATAGAACGAAGATCACTATAAGAAAACCCAGTGTTCAACGACAGGAACATACTAGTACAGAGACTGGTCAAAGACTGCGGAAAGCACAGGGGCTGGAGTATTCTTTAAAAATACCAACCTTAGCTATGCAAAAGGAAGACCCACTTCAGTATTTCAGGCTGAGGTTTATGCAATCTTGCAATATGCAAGAACGAACAATAGGAGAGCTACCTCAAATAATGTCAGACACCCAGACGGCCCTTGAGGCCACAACAAGTCAGAAAGTGACGTTGAAGAACTGAGAACACTGGCAGACCGAAATAGAGTAAAACTAGCCTGGGTGCCAGGTCAGCAATTAATATAGGGCAATGAAAAGGCTAACGAACTCGCAAAGAGAGGGTCAGAAGAAATACAGGGCCCAGATAGGAACCTTGGAGTACTAAAATGTACAGTACGAGATTTCATAAATGACTGGGTTCGGATAAAACACAACTATAGGGAGAATATCCCAAAACGAGCACATGGGAAGACCTTTACAGTAAGAACTGGTTAACTACTCTCCATAAATAGGAACCAGATGAAAACAATAACAGCACTCATGACTGGGCATACCCCCAGAGACTAAGTCAGACGAGCACAGGCAAAAAAAATATATAAAATAGGATGATAGTCTTGAGCACATAGACGAGTACTGCATAATGTCTGATGCCAACTTTAATACGGCTCTATCATTTATAACATTATTCTTTGCAGACGGTTTTAGAAAATAACATTCTCTACAGTTTAGCGAAATTTTCTTTTAAAATATTGTGATTTTAGATCAAAAATGAAACCTCCCTTTTGCGTAATACCATTATAAGTAATAAGTATAAGGCATCAGCACAAAATGGTTACGTTTTTTATGTCTACTGAAAATTTTGATAAAATGTACATAGGAGGTTTTATCGCGGCAACGATAATATAATCTTTAAAAATATGTTGATGCCAGCCCGATAAATAAATATGCAATATGTCTCACTAACTTGAAACCATATGGAATTTTTTTTTATTATTGGTTTTGTGAAAAATGTATTCTTAATAAAAAGTTCTGCATGGTCCAAAACTTAAAATACAACCATCAGATAGAGTAGAGTACCTTTATTTTTGACAAACCTTGTATACGACTGACAAAATTTGATATTAGATGGTTGTATTTTATGTTTTAAATCAATGCTTGACTTTTTATGAAGAATAACTTTTTTTCCTAATATTAATAATAAAGTTTTTCATATGCCACCAACTGTCTACGTAAGTTGGCAGGGCAGACAGTACTTTCTGTCATTTTCCCATGTCTCGATAATAATGGAACTTAATGTACTCTAATTACAAACCTTTGCAAACTTCACTATTTTCGTCATATTCAGCTTTCACTCCGCAATTGAAATCGCCATTACATTTCAAACTTTTCTGTATACACAAACTGTCATTCCCAATAACACAAGAGATTTTCCCCATATCCTCGCATTTTGAAGATCTATTAGTTAGTAAATTTGCCGCTGTTGCTATTAATTTAATATCAAAAGGATTTTGGACTTTCTTGAAATTAAAAACGACCGTAGCATTTTTAACGAATTTTTCGTGTCTAAATAGATTTTCCGTGATTTTTTCACATACATTAGTAACGCTATCGTCTTTCTACTGAAATACAGAAATTATAAGAAAATAAAATAAAATTTTATAACACGAATTACAGAACATAACAAATTGATTAATTTAATAAATGCACTTAAAATAGTATGAAAACAATTAAAAACTTCAATGAAGATTTATAATAATTTGCATTCTATATTATACTCTTCACAGTTTAACAGACCCCCCCCCCCTTAACCCCCATTTTATACAAAAACTATTCAACGAACAACAATCGTGATAATTCTCGTTCAATCAGATTTTTTGAAATTACTTTTGCAAAGACAAAAAATTAATTTTTACCACTAAAATATCATCTGAATTGCATTCAATTTCATTTCCAACAAATTCCATGACTATAATTAATCCAACTTCGTACAAGTAGTTAAAAATATTAAACTGACAAAAGGGTATGATTGTTTTGGTCGACAAATAGACTATCAAACTGCTTATTTCTCCACTTCCAGAAGGTAAAAAAAGATTTCTTGAAGTGTTAGCTAGGCATGTCGTTCTAACATCTGAAATTTTAGTAAATAATGAGCAAGTAGATATTAAGTTATAAACTTAAATTACTTACCTATAACGTTTTGAAGAAATAAACAACCTTTGGTGTTTACGAAAATTAAAAATATCGTTATAAAAATTCTTGTCATATAACATAATTAGTTAAAAGTAACTGTCAGAAATGACAGTTTGCTATTTTTTTGATGTAAAGATTCCTAAAAAATAGTTGACAGTTATGAAGGCATAATACAGGAGTGCGTTTAGAAACCCCGCACGGCGCGTCTCACCACATACATTAGAATAGGGTCCAGACGCGCCGTGCGTGGTTTCTAAACGCACTCCAAATTGTTCAAAATCCTGGATGCATTTTTTCCAAAAGTAAATTTGTAGTAAGTAGTAAAAATGGTCAAGTTTGATAATAATATTCTTTTATAGTCGAGAGGTATAAAAAAGAAATAAACTTTTGTTGATTTTGTTGAGAAATTTGATAGGAAGACAAAGTTTTAACTTCTACCAACTTTCTTTGTTTACTACAAGAAAGAAAATGAAGAAAAATAATAGGTGAAAGCACACCTTTGTGTTTGTTAATAACAATTTTCCACTTCAGGCTCTTTTGATCAGGCTGTTCATCATTGTTTTTAGCAGACTCATCTGGTTTCATCTAAAACAAAATATTGTTTGGATTCTATAAACATGAATTGTTAATAGTTAACGTTAACTTACATCTAAAAAAAGAAGATTATTATGTTCGTTAAACGTTAAAATTCTGTATGACACGTTGAATATTACCAAGACAAATATTTGGCAAAATGAAGTCATATTTAAATATTATAAAATCACTCGAAATTGCTACCTAAACTCAAAACTGTCATATTTGAATTATTGACACAAGAGGTTCTGAACTTTCTATAAGGTTTTCTTCTCATCTCAATGGTATCCAAAACAGTGTTTTATTTCGTATTACTAAAAACAACTGTTTTGTGTTATGACGTTCTTGTAGCAAATAACCGAAAAATCAACTATTTTTGAAGTTATAGAAAAGATATACTACCCACAAATATACGATCAAAAATAAATGTTTAATCACTAAAACGGCCCCAAATATTTGACAAGAGTAATATTCAACCGTTGTTTGTTCCTCAATCGTACTGTCTTCAGCCGTTCTTGGGGTATCAAAAGTTTTCTTAGCGGACTGCAATAATTTAGACAAACTTTTCCGTTTATTATCGTAGCAGTAATCGTTGACCGATGATTTCGTGTCTTCTGTAGTTTCACCTCTTATATTTTTTTCGACACCTAGAATGTACAATATTCGGTCTTAAGGGTTGGCCAGCGCCCTCAGTTTATAAAAGTTTACTAAAAGTTTAGTAATATGTTCATAGATTCCGCTAGCATTTTTTCAAATTGGATCGGTAAATAATAAAAAAACGTGACAGTGGTGATGACAGGAATAGTTCAGTAAAATAAAGATATTTTGCGAAATATTTGCTTCAGTATCGATATTAATCTTTACGTTTTCCGAGATATCCAAACGCAACGTCCCCAAAAAATTAATGTATGAGCTGGAAATCTTAATAACCAAATAATTGTTCCAATTTTCTCCTACGAAAATTTAACTGGACTTAGATATCTAGAGTTTTTGGAAGAATTAATTCATACTCTTATCATTCAGTGCTTGGAAAAAACTTAGATCAAATGCAGTTTAGAAGTAAGGCAATATTTGAATACCGTGTTTACAGGACATACTTGACCCCCTGGATTTATTTTTGTGGGGGCATTTGAAGTCTGTTGTTTACAAGACACCACTACACTCCATTGATGATTTGCTTAATAGAATCACAGAGGAATGTAGAAATTTTACACCAAAAGTATTTGAAAATGTTTAGAATGCTTTCGAAAATAGACTGTATTATTGTATAAATGTAAACGTTGAACATTTTGAACATTTGATTTAATTGAAATAATGTAAAGAGTCTTTGTTTTAGTTTAAAAAGCAAAATTTTGTTGGTTTATAAGAATATTCTTCTTTGTGATAAGTTGTATTTTTTTGGATAATTAGATTTTTGTTACTATCTACTGTCCAAGATTACCAGTTCTTTTTCTTTTCATCTGGTATATCTGAACTTTTAGCTGTAAATATCTTACAAATTTCATTATGTAATTAAGTTATTTTTTCATATAGATATTAAAAAACTACGCTTTTTCAGAATGTCAAAAAACTACAAGATGTCATTTAAATTTTTGGCTGGTGGCGGCGAATATCACGTTGGGGTAGTATCTCATATAGTATTAATTTCCCCCCTATTTCCTATACAGGTATAGTTTCATTTTCGCGCGGACATCCAGAATATATTATCAAATGGAAGAAAGAATACCTAAAAAATTACAAATTGTCTCCTTATTATCACAACTTGTATCAGAAACGCTGCGTATCAAATTTAATCGGTTCCTGCGCAAAGAAGAGGGCCCAAGTTGCGGTTTGGCGATTTTCAGGGCGTCGATGGTTTTTTGAATTTCTGCTGGAATGGCTTTCAATTCTTTTCTCATCGTACTATCTTCGTCGGGATTCTTGTGAATATCCGGTACATTCTTACTAGAAAAAATACCCAATATACTTACAATTGATGCATTTGTATTACTAAGCGGTGGTAATAGTATCAAAATCCAATTCCAATAAGAATATTTCATTTTATGGATTTTTGACCATACCTGCAGTTTGGGATGTTCTATTCTCTGCACTTGTCCAGGAGGTAACAAAATCTTCTTAAGAATAAAATCATCTTTAATTTTATCTCTAATCATGCACCTATATTGCATTTGTTTAGAAAGAGGACCTCTAGGACAAGGACAACAAGGCTCAATTTTCTCGTGAGGTTCTTTTAGAGCAGAACAATCACCACTGGAGAGCGTAGATTGAACTACAGGACCCAGAACAACTTCTTGAGGACTGGTCTTAACCGCAAGCGTGGAACAATCTCTAGCGCTCGGTTTTATAGTTTGAGTTGTTCTTATGGATTTCTTTTTCGGTTTTGGCGTGGGTTGAGCGCAGTCCAAGCAGATTTTCGGGGCTTTACTGATGGCCAGATTTTCAATGACGTATTCGTATTCGGCAAACTCTTTCGGAATTGCTTTTTGCTTCTTCTTTTTCTCTTTTTTAGACGATTTGGAAGGGATGCATGGGCAGCAGCATGTAAATACATTTTTACCGGAAGGTTTGTCTTTGGTCTCGGTTTCGGTGATCATGGAAAAAAATCAAAATGATGGGTAGGTGAAATAATCTAGAAAGAACGAGTGACAGTGTCAATTTAAAAATTAAACGAAGAGATTGTGATATACGTTTATAGCAAACAAACAATTTAGGTTTGTTACAGATATCTATATTGAAATACCAGCTAGATGAAGTAAGTATAGTTTTGGTCAGTAGAAAAGAATGAATTGAATAGGGATCTCATATTTGTGATTTTACAATTAAAAATAATAGAAACATTTAAATTAGAGCAAAGTAAAAAAATTGTCTAATTGACGGGATGTCAGTTTGTTACAATTACATTTTTGTATGCTACTGAATGTTTTCATAACATTGTATTAATTATATCTGTCCCCGGCTTTAAAAGCAGATTTAAGGCTAAAATTTTAATCAAAGCTATATAGACAGACATACATGACCCGACAAAAACATATTTGTTTCCTGACAATATAAAAGAAACTGTTAAAAATTTATTTTATATAACTATTATAAACTACACTACACATAATCATACGATCTACCTAAAAAATAATTTAAAAATTCCATGCAGCACCTGTTGCATTAACAGGTGTTTGTGGTTACCAAGACAAAAACATTTTCTTAGTAACCCATATTGAAGGCAGTTTTGTCAATATACATATATTTTTTAAAGAAGCGTCCCCTTTGAATTTGAATGATAATATTATATTAATAAAAGATGGCAGGTATTCCTAAACTACCAGGTTATAGCTTTACAGATCCAACAGTAAGTATTTTAATAATTTACCAAATATAAAAAAGTTTAAAAGTTTAGATCCAATAAATTGCAGTTTTTGCTTTTTTGATCATGCCTCTATAAATAATTGGCTCTATTTTACTATTTATTTCTTTTCATTTTTACTTATTAAGTTTGTAGTTTATTAGAGCTTGTCACATTTCATCAACGTTTCAAACTTGTGTAATTATTGTAATCTTTATCTAGAAACAAAAATTCCACGTATCCCAAACCTTCAACATACGCAACGGCTATCGCATAGCCAGGAACAATTTTTGTGGAATTGGAGGCACTGAAATAGCCTCGAATTCAGCCAGATTCGTTGGCGCCAACGACTGTATCAGATTCGATCCATCTTTGACGTACGGTAGGACGAAAACTGACGTTCCACCATTGTTCAAACCTCACTATGCTTTGTACGCCAATAGGAATCTGTCATTCGATGGGTTTTTCAAACAGGGGATCTTGGATTCGCCGAACGAATTTTATAGAGTAAGAAGAGTCAGGATATTGTATTACTTGGAGGATGATACCATATCAGTATTTGAACCACCATTGAGGGTAAGTCACGCAGTGGACAAAGGACATATGTAAATTTGTTAAAATCGCAGTTTTTTCATGACTGGAGGGCATATGTAACTAAAATTCTTTCTAACTAGATCTGTTATAATATTCTTTCAAATAAAAATATTACCAGGATATAAATAACCTATGTTTTATGATTAATTACTCAAAATAAGAAATTTTAAACTCAAATACCTTTTAAATATGTTTCTGTTACATATGTCCTTATCCACTTAGGTCTTCAATTGTTTTTGATGTTTACCTTATGTCAAATGCGGCCGTAAAGCAGTAAACACGGAGTGCTATTTGCATCCCAGTTTGGGTTTCAATCGGGTAAAAATACTACTGCTGCTATGTTTACAGGGTAGTTCATGCAGTGTTTTGCGATTTATCAAAAGCTTTTGAGTGTGTAAATCACAAAATATTGTTGAGCGAGCTAAGATATGGATTCCTAGGAATAGCTCTAAAGTGGTTCCAGTCTAATTTGGAGACTTAAACACAAAGAGTTTATTTCAATATGCAAACGTCAAAACTGTGGAGTTGCTCGAGGATCCGTTCTGGGACCGGTTTTATTTTTAATTTATGTTAATAATATATTATTAATGTCAATATTAATGGATACTTCGCCATATTTGCAAATGATGCAACGATACTCTGGAGGAGTAAGTTGCTACAAATTGGATTTTTTTTTGTGATCAGTTAAATTGAGTGGTTCATTTTAATTTATGTGTATTATATATATTTTCCGATTGTCATATTTGTACATGGTGCATATTATGTATTTTTGTTCTTTATATTTTATATTTCGACAATAGAATTTTAAAAAACTTAAACCAAACAAAAAATTTCATTTACGAAAATTTAACTTTTTGTTTTTAACTTTCTTATATTAGTATGTAATTAATTTGACTTGACTTGAGAATTCTATACAAAGCTACGACGCCAATAAGTACCATAAGGTAGTGAGGATGACACCAAGCTGACGCTTTTTCCCTATTAATTTACCTCTACACACAATCTTCTGGTAAATTTTTGTTTATTGATATTTTAGAATAGTGGAATCAACCAAGGAAGGATAGTCAAAAGAGGAAGAGTTCCAAAGAACGAAAAAGGTGATCACTGGCATTGGAAAGATCTAAATGTCGGTCTAGATATAATGCTTTATGGAATCGTTTACCATACGGTGAATTGTGACAAGTGGACTAGGGTAAATATCTTAATAAATCTGTAAATCAACCTTTTTGGGGTTAAAACAAAACAGTAGTTATTGAAAGTATTTTATAATATACAAATTTCATTAATTTTGGATATTCATGTTAAGAAACATCATACGTAAACGCCTTACGCCTTAACGTTAACATCTTATCGTAACATCTTATCATTAATACATTATCATTAACATCTTATCGTTAACATCGTATCGTCAACATCAACGTTGTATCGTTAACATATTATCATTAACATATTATCGTTTTTAAGTAATACACAATTTTTTTCAGGAGTATATGGCAAGCCAGGGTTTGATTATGAATGAACCAGAAGAGATGCCAGAAGATCCATATATCTTTGACCGGCAGATAAAAGCCAAATCTAATTTTACGAAGACGAAATCTAACGTTGACAAATTAAGAAAGTTTTTGGAATACGATGGCAAAGTTTTAAGGTAAATTTCTTGTATGATTGGTCGTGAAATATGAATTGTTTTTATTGATGAACAACGGTCCTAATGAGGCATAAGAATTGTAAATTTGAGGTCTTCTCCAACAACGATCAGAAACCAGTCACTGACACCAGGATTCTGCTCAGTAGATTATTGGTATTATTAAGCTCTTTTTTGTAGATTCAAAGCTGTTTGGGACGACAGAGAAAATGAGTACGGTGAGTTGATGAGATTCGAAATTTTCTATTTTTTATCTGACGATACGGTTTCGGTGAAAGAAATTCACCGTAAAAACGACGGTAGAGATCCATACTGCATGTTACTCAGAAAAGTTAAACTTCCAAAGGTAAGTGGGGAATATGGGTAAATAGATAATATTTATGGCTGTAATCTTTATAATTTTTTTGTACTTAGCGTTATAATGATACGCCGCCATCTTATCCTGCCATCTACTTGGAACTGACGCCTGCAGAAGTTACTGAATATTATCAACCGATAAACTTTCAAATTGGAGAAACTATATTTGTTCTTGGTCGGGATATGTTACTTTATGACTGCGATAAGTTTACTAGAGATTACTTTCAGAAGGCTTTGGGTATTACGCAAAAGGAGGCTTTCAGTATCGAAGGTAATTTAATATACCGCATAAATTTATTAACAAATTTTAATTTTAACGGTCATCACCAGCAACAAATTAAAGTAGTTATTCAGCAGACGTCTAGTGGATAGCTATTGTACCGAAGACTTTTACAATATGATATATTTTCTGATGATACTGGGTGCATATTCTGTGAGGACAAAACCTCCATTCACATTCTGACTGAATGTGTAGCACTCCAGAATCCAAGGGCAACCTATGAGAATATCAAATAAAACAGAGATTTACCTAACTTGAAGCTATTCCAAATCCTACACTTGAGAAGATAAGATTGGAAGGATCGTTATAGCCATCGAAACATTTCCTTGCTGCATTAGTGGCAAAAGGGGGCACAATGGATCTTTTAGGTCGGAATATAACAAACATACCTTGATTACATTTCACCTGTCTGCTAAATAACTAAATTTTTTTCTGTCCACCTATTTACCCTCCTTTGCCTGATAATGACCGATTAAGGTCAAAACTAGTTGCGTTAAGATTAAAACTAAATTTATATGGTACCGATTTGGCGTTATGTTTATTTTTCTGAATAATTAGTTTTATAATAATGAAGCAAAATATGTGTTTTTTCAGATCCAGTTCCTCCTAAGCCTCCCAAGCCGATGCCCCCACATGATGGTTTCGGTTCTCTTGAAGATTCATTCCAGAATACGAAGACGTTCATTATCAAACCATATAGAAAGAACTTCACGATGAGTACCGTGAATGCGAATAAGTATTTGAAGTAAGCACGAATATTTGTGTTCATCTCCGTTATTTTTATTGATAGAGGGTTGCGGTTTTCTCGACACTTTGCTACTTTTTCGTAAAACTCAAAATGTCGTTAACAAAATTTTCATAGCCCTTTTAGTTTTTACAGGGCATTTTTGAAAATGTTGCATTTCGGGACCCCCTTGTATATTCGTTATCGTTCAACTTATCGAAAAGGTAAAATAACATTCTTATAGTTTTTTTTATTAGAATGCAGTGTTGTAGATAATTTTCGTTACATATTTACTATTTTTAAGTTATAAAGCAAACTTTTATTTTTTTAATGCCCAACTTTATAGCCGTCTGCTGACAAAATGTATTTACACCACTGTATTCTACGGAAAAAAATCTATTAGAATGTTATTTTACCTTTTCGATAAGTTGAAAGATAACGGAGATACAAGGGGGTCCCAAAATGCAATATTTCCAAAACTACTCAGTCAGTAATATTGATAATATTGAAAATTGGCGGACTTTTGAATTTACACTATAATTAAAATTTTTCATTTTTATTAGCATTTTTTTACACGCGTGAGATGCGCCTCGAATTTAGGCGTATCTTACAAGAATTTTATTCTTTTTGTAATATGGAGCATTACATTCACTAGGTACGAAATGGTTATGGACGCGGTACATCCTGAAGATACAATCAGACGTTTCGTGATGATGTATTCGTTAGGCGATGGAACTTGCAAGATCAGAGAACCGCCTATTAAAAATTCGGGAATTATGGGAGGGACGTATTTACGACCAACGATGTTGATTAAACCAGGTAAATATTTTATCATATAGTTGTTATTTTATTACATGAAATAGTAGAATCTAATACGGCTATATTAGTGATTGCGTAATTTGTGTTCCAATGACAAATGACAAAAATATAGGTTATATAGATATTTATATTTCTATTATTCCAAGATTGTATTCAAACCTAGTACATAGATGGGGTTGCCAGACGTCCCGCTTCAGGCGTAATAATTTTAACTTGCTGACAACGCGTCACGTATGAAAATGCCTCGCTCTTCTCCTAAAAGCCACGCTTTTTATTCAAATACCACGCTTTTTAAATCCACAGTTATAAATAATAAAAAAAAATTGAGAAGCTCATCGGAAAAAGGATCTGGTTTGTAAAAATATATACGGAGGACCTTTTTTTAACCTGATCCCCTATCGTCACCATTGTCCCGTTTTTCTCTTTGGTAAACCTAGCAACCCTATACATAGAAACCCTTCAATATTAAGTGTAAGTTCATAATTTATAATAAATGTAGAATTATATTTTCTTAATCTTCATTTCAATGTGTCATTGAATCATTGTGTTAAAGATATTTAAAGACTCCATAGATGGTAAGGTGTATACGTTCTGGTGTAGTATAAGATTCTGACGTAATCAGTAAGATTTTATATTCTTAAGGTTTGAACCACTGAACTATATACTGATACAGTTAAGTGGTTTGAACACAAATTAAATTACATCACACTAATATCGCATATTATAGGCATGTGAAGCGTTGGTGTAATTAACATTTTCCAGACTTAAAACAGTTTAACATGAAATCGTCTTTTCTTCTAGGATCGGAGCGTCTAAATCCAGATTATTATACCCCAGTAGATTTTTATATCGGTGCGATGATATCGATATTCAAACAGAGGTTCATAATCGTTGGTGCTGATCTATACGTTTATCGCTACATGATGGCCAATAACGATAAGTTCCCGCCTGAAATTATTGAAAATCTTAGAAATTACATGTTCAACAAGGGTTATCTCAAGTACGATGTTGATGATAAAATGAAGGAAATTGTCGAATCCGAAAATAAATGGGATGAAGATGCAGGTAAATATTGGTCAATTTTGTACATAATTAGTTTTTTGAAATTATTCGAATTTTATCGATCTTCTGGTAAAACGGAAGGAAGATAATTGCATTACATATACCAATATAGTTTCTGATCAATAATCTTACAATAATAACAAATTTATCTCAAATGGAATTATTTAATTATTATCTAGTAATAAAGAACAGGTATCAAATACGTGATCCTCAGGTTCCATCATTTCATTTGACGTATCTCATGTCTTTCTAGCACAATACTGATTTTAAAGTGAAATAACAAGTAATAGATTTGTTATTAGCATTTCACATAACATTATCCATGCAAAAATTACGATTGATACTTAGTATTAGTACCTCATATAACATTTCTATTCAAAAATTAATCAAAAACTAACAAAGTTAGGCACTATTGCCTCTTTGGCTATGATACTGCGTACACGTAGATATTTCAGCTGGAAATATCGTATCGAGTCAGCAAATATACATAAATCATTTTGACAAACTTATGTTTTTTTTGTTAGCATATAATTATACTTTAAAAAACAAAATTAACACTTAAACTATTTATTTCTCAAGATCAGGAACACTTAAAAACTGTAGAAGAAGAACTCAAAGAGTGCCACGATAAGATAAACGTTCAATCCGATCCAATAGCAGACAAAGCAATGAGAGATAAGATTTACGCTGAATACGAAGACGCTATGAAACACAAAACGGGAGTTTTGCCTTACGGAATTAAGCCCTACGGTCATGAGTGTGCCAATCCTGTTTTCATCGGGGACAAGAAGAGCAGCGTGTGTAAACCAGATGAGGAAGGTAATATTGTAGCATTTAGAAATTCTATTTTAAAAAAAATATTACTTGCAAGAAGTCTCGCTTCTTTAAATTCAGCAATGTGTGAAACATGCAAATAAGAATTACGTTGTTTTTTAGTCCAATTCTCTTCATTCACCCCTAAACACGTTGATACCCCTGAAGAAATAAGAGCCAAATTTTACGGAGGCGTTCTAAAAGGCCATCACGACGTTTGCGATGGTTCAAAAACTATCGAATGCATTCCCCCGCCTCATCTGGGACCGCTTCCAGAACGAGAAGGTGGTCCAGTTCCGGAACCAATCATGACGACAGATCCAGAACTTCCGGCGAGCTGTAAAACAAAGACGGTTCGATTTGTAGAAGATTCCGGCGACAGGTGTAAAAAAGATAGGCACGATTTGTGTAATGTAAATCGTGATATTAGTTTCGCTGGATGTACAGATTATCAAAAAGAATGCATTCAACTCGACAAGCATTAGGATAAATAAAATTTTTATAAATGTTTTCAAGTTGTGTTTTTATTCTTCGAATAATAGTTTGCTGTATAACCATAATAATGATGTCAATATGCAGTATTGGTGGCCAACCCCTATAAGACTCTTAAGGGATATCACCCCCGAAAAGATGTAATTAAAATTGAGTTTATCAGTTTCAAAGAAAGCCCAATCTTTTCACTAATGAGTAAAGTTGAAAGTAACTACTTGCTGATTAACTATGAAACTATTGTTTCTTTATTTGTTAAGTAAACCTACATGTACCTTTATTCAGAGGAACTTCTGGTAAAATCAAAAGTCGGCCATTTTGTTTAAGTATAAGTGTCAATTCAAAATTGTGTTTAGTAGATATATCCCAAAATAGATTCAAATAATTTCATAAAAATAAGAGATATTAACTTGACCCTGATTTCATTAACACCCGTTTTAAATTACAATTTAAATTCATAGAGTGGGCTGCTGTCAAATTATGTTGTCATTTCACTTAACGTCAAATATATTTTGCGTTTGCAACCAGCAAATATTTAAAAAACTAAACTCAATGACAAAATGGTTTGGCACACAAATTACGTCACACAACTTTATGAAATTTTATGATAGTTATAAACTTTCTAAACTATTATGTTGGTTTTGAGAATTCTTAAATAGAATCAACAAAATATTATACCCATGTTCTTATATCGCTAAAAAATAAACTAAAAAACTTAATATTTTAAGTACATATCTGCTTTCACTTGTGGCAAGTACGGTTCTGTCCTTCCTATCGCTATAATAAAAGAAAAGAAGAATATTTAACCTGACAGATGACAACTGATGATTGTCTGTTGTCTGATACTGGCAATATTTGGTGGTTGTTTGTATTTATTTAAAAACCACCTTATAATTTGATTATAATTTTAATTTCACTGGCAAAATGAGCAACACCGATAATGATAAGTTAGATTGGATGTACAAGGTATTACTTACATTTTAAACACGATGTATTTATAATAAAACTAATTATAATTAATGTTTCAGGGTGCAACCAGCAATGTTGATCGAGAGGAGTATTTATTAGGAAAATCAGTAGACAAAACCTTCGACCAACTGAATAATGAAGATAAAGAAAAGAAACTGGGATTAGTACCCCCTAAGAATCATGTTGAACATGAATGTATCCCTCCCTCAATTAGAGATTACAACAAAATCGTTCAGCAAGAGCAGGTACATATTTTCCTGTTAAATACATTGTTTTTAATATTTTAGGATAATTTCTTGAATTAGTAACAATTATAGGTATTCCAAATAATAATTAAGCCACTTGAACTCTTAATATTCTTGTTAAAAAGTGAGTTTCAAAGAAAAGTGTCTTTACAATCTTTATTTAATTAAGAATCGTTAACGAAACAACTTTTTTCGTATATTATAGTGCTACTCAAAAGAATAAATGATATGTTCCTTTCCAAGCTAGTCCCAGAATTATCAAAAAAAATCTAGACTGGTAAAACCATGAAGATATATTATTTAACCTCATTGGGTAAAACACTTAATTTTTAGGACTTCAAATTAATTTCTTTTGCATAAAATCATGATTACTTTATTTTACAACCAATAATAAAAGCGGATTTGGCCTCCAAATCAATTTTTAAACCATCAAATTTTTGCCCTGATTTTTAATTTTAAGGTTAGGTGTCTAATGTATGATGTGTTGCCTATCTATCAGCTGTATGCGTTTTTATTGAATGCTGTGTTGTCACTTTGTTTACTTTTTAAGGAGGTACATTGAAAAATTATTCAACAAGCTAACAATTTAATAACTAATTTATTTTGATTGAAAAACTGAGAAGGTGCATCACGAAATGCTGAGAACTTAGTGCTTCATTTAAAACATAATTTAATACGTTAAAAAAATACCTTATAGGTATATTTTGAAAAATACATAAAAAAATATAAATTTTTTTAAGGTTGACCTATCTGCAAAGTTACAAGAAGACCCTCTAGTCGCGATTAAAAAGCAGGAGGAAGAAGCTCGCAGACAATTTCTTCAAAACCCGATACAATTGAAAAAACTGCAAGAAGCTATGCAAGCCCAAGAAACTAAGAAAAAAAAGAAGAAGAAACGCAAACAGCATAAACAATCGGATTCAGAAGACGACTTGGATAGGCAGCTATCGGAAAAATTAAGAAATTTAAAAGGAAGTTCTGTCAATTTTCCTGAGAAAGACAAGAAGAAGAACAACAACGCCGGACATTTGGATGTCATATTGATGCACAAGTTCAATCAGTTGAAGGATAAATTGTCCCAAAAAGATCTTGACGACATCATGGCGGGAAAAAGCAGCGATAGCGATGATGAAATTCCTGAAACCAAAAAACAAAAGAGACAAAGATCTTCCAGTAATGCAAGCAGTGATGATTCTGGAGTAATCAGAAAAAATGTTAAACCAGAAAAGCGTAAATATAGCAGTTACAAAGAAAAAAAGGAACGTAGGAAACATCGGGACAGCTCAAATGATAGCTTTAGTGGCCACAATGCAGAAAGGAAAAATAAGAAAGAAGTTGAGAAAGAAAAGCACAAGAATGATCACAAAAGTAGACCAAGTAGTTCAAGTAATAGATATCGAGATAAACTAAAGAACAATAGAAGAAGGAAATCCAGTAGTAGCAGTAGTGGTGAAAGGAGAAAACAGTCTTATAAAGAAACACTGATATCTCAATCCAATAAAGATGAAGATTTGGATAAAATGATTTTGCAAAAACTGAGAATGCTGAGGGACTCAAAAATCGATAAACCCGAAGAAACTGGCGTGAATAAAGCGAAGAACTTAACTGAATATTCTTATGACAGTGATAAAGACGAATACGTTTTAAAGAAAAAATCTTTCGGTTTGGTAAGATCCGACGGTACTAAAATCCCGCTGAACAACCCCACACTAAAACCCAAACAGCAACTCAAAAAACCCGAACCCAAGCAGGCGGAAGCGAAAAAAACGAACAAAAGACTGTCGGAAAAAGAGAAAGATGAACTCCGGAAGCAGATGATGTGCGATGCAGTGGAAAGGGATAAAGAGAGAAGCGATAATTTGAAGAGACATCGTCAAGAGAATCGACGCGAAGAAAACGTTGAAGATTTCGATAAAAACTTTGTGCACAGGGAGCTGTCGAAGAGCCAGAGGAATATTAAAGATGTCGAGACGAGGATTAAGTCCAAGTTAAATAATATACAGAGGTCTACCAGGCATATGGATTCGAATTTTTCGAAAAGGAGCTGATAAATACTTGAAGGTTTATCGATTGAGATCAATTTCGATAAGACTGTGATTTAACTTAATCTAGTTATGTAATATTAAATGTATTTGTTATAGAGTATAAAGATTGATTTTAAGTTCTGAATAAAATGAAAGTGTTGTTTTTGCAACTTTTTATCTAAGTCATGAATTTATAAAATTATTATTATTATTATTATACTTAGCACTAGTTAACCAGTCTTATAGTTTCTAAAATTTTCGGAAGTTACTGAGGACCCACTACCTATTTTCTTGCCACCACTTTTTAACACTTTTCTCCACGTTCCTGATTACTTAAAAACCGAAAATATCTGATCGTCTGTGCGAATGTACGGCCGCACGAGAACTTTTCTTGAATATTTTTTCTAACTTAGAACCTTATTGATTTTCAGAATTTTCGGTTGAACTTAACTATATTAAATATCAAATGTTTTTAAAATTCACTACAAGTTTATTTTATTCACTCCAACATAGTAAAATCAGAATATATGGATGCTACGCTTGCCAACTGTAATAAACAAAAAAAAAATAACTTAAATATTTTATATTTTCCTCAATGCCTATTATTATTTTATCTAATATTCAGGGCAAACCGCGTTGGTACGACACTGGACGACCGGGTGTTGAGCTACGTTCCGAGAATTCCAAAATTAAGATGGGCACAGTAAATGTGTGCCTCTGTTGTTTTATCTCTCATTATGATGCGAAAAACAAGGACAACGACAATATCGCTCAGCAAGAGATGAACACATGCGATGGATTATACGTCACAAGCAGGGCGCTGTCCCATGGCACAGATTACCTAGACCAGATACGAATGTACTGCTTCTTTACCGGCTCCCTCACAAGGCGATGAGGTGCGCGTTTGTTGGACCATGATAATAATTTATTTATTGTGATAACAAAAAAACGTTAGTTGGACCATTGGAATAGTTAAGAAATAAAACTACAAAGAAAAATAACTTTTTTTTATAAAGCAGTCAAAAATATAATGAAAAAAAATCAATAATATAAATAAATGAGACAAAACTTTAATTTTTCTTTTGGTTTTGTCTGACTTTTTCGAGGATTTCAAATCTCTGTTTGCATATTTAAGAGTATAAAAAATTTACGCAAATTTCGCAAGAGTGGATATGTAATGATTTTTTGATTAAATAGTCACATACATAGTTAAATGCATTTTAAGTGGTCACATTTAGCTCCCTGTAGTCACATTCAGAAATCGTTATTGCCCCAACTGATTGTTTTGAAATATATATAATTTTCATTAAGCGGAGAACTTGTTTTCCTAAGGGAATAACGAATTCCCGGATTCCTTTCCAGTGTGTGCCCCACTGCCGCTAGTGCCCACGAGCCGCCACTGTGTAAAACCACAGATAATCAAATATATTTTTTCAAGTAGGATCAAATGTAGGAAACTTAATAACAACTGGCAACAACGCCAGATAATTCAAATCTGATCTACCCATTGATCTGTATTATTTATTTACATAATTAAATGTTTAGACGGCTCAAATACATTTTTTTTCTGGACCGGCTTATTATTTTAATTTAAAACTGATATACCTATTATGATACATTCATAATTATACTGGGACTGGAAATTATGACCTACAATTATTTATAAATCAGACAATTTCCAAACGATTCATAACTTGTTTGGCAGTGTTGTTTTGTATTCCTCCACCCAACCTAATTATCTAACTTTTCCTTTGCAATGATTCCATTTCAGTTATTTTAAATTGTTTAATCGCTAATCGCCACATCAGGTTAGGATATTGCGATATATAAATTTGCCGAGATTAATATACCTACTATGTAGGCAACCACCTTTTCGGGTTTCAAACGTATTTACACATGTCGACGGTTAATTGTAATCAATGAATATCAATTACCCATTGTTATTATTTCTATGATTATAATTTCAGCGAACAATTAAAATCGGAAACTGTCTTTCTCTGTAACTCCCTGAAATCTCAACAAATGATGACAAAAGATGGAAAGAAAAAATTAAATACATGAAAATATTGATCCGGTTCTGTAGCACATGGGTGACGTCAATGACGTATAACATCACGCCACTCTCCTTCCTAAAGAAGTTCTGCTCTCATTGGCCATGAGACAGAGAGACGTTCTGTCCAAAAATACAGTATATTTTATTTTTACTAATCCACGCGAATTGAGGTAGTGACAATTTCTTAAAAGTGTTTCGATTAAAACATTGTGCGGGACTTTGAAATTTTAATAAACAATCCTTGTTATCACATTAAAGTGTTTTGAAGAAACTGCAATTTATCAGCTTGGGTAAGTACATTTTTTTTATATTCACCATACCTACCTTTGTAGATATTTGAAAGTAAACAAATTATAATTGAAATATTTATTTGTTGTTAAATTAAGCAAACGATTAATTTTATCTGGTATTAGTTATATTTTTAATTTAGTTTCGTTTTCATTTAGTGTTATTGAATTTGACATATGTATTGTGATAGGTTATGTTTGTCCGGTTTTGAAATGTCAACTCTTCAAATTCATAAAAGTTGCCACAACTTTATTATAATTTATTATTTTTATCACGTGCGAACGATGATTCATAATTCATATATTAAGCAAGTACAGTTTTCGCGAATTGCCATAAAGAAGGGGTTAAAAATTTATGACCCTTAATTATTAAGGGTCAATATACCGGTTTAATTTTTTTGATGTTTTATATTTTATTGTAATTAAAATAAATCTAACTTATAAAGGTACATAATAATTTGATATTTGTATACCTAAGTAGCTATTTACTAATTTTGAACATTAGCATTGTTTACAAATAATTGTGTTGTCTAAATTATACCTAATTTAACTATAAACTTTCCTAAAATTTCAGAAAGCACAATCAAATAGCTATTAAAAGGAATGTGTACTTTGGGTACAGGGTGTATCAGTTTTGAGGAAGAAAATTATTCAAATAGGCACCCTTTTTTTGTATTAAATGGGAAAATTAATTTAGACCATTATCTTAAAAAAATATTCACTTTGGGTATAGGTACAGTACTTAATATAAGACCGTGATAGTAAACTAGGTAACTAGGTACTTATTAGGCCCATTGAAATGATTATACTTTAATATTAAATGATTACATCTGTTACCAACAAGAGGGAGATCCCTCCATATCATTATTGTATTAATGTACGGCAATATCAAAACGGGATTTTTTCGTAAAGATGGGATGAGAAGCGGTTCAAACAGAGCATTTTGAAAAACCAACTAGGTCCAGATTTAACCCCAATAGATGTTAATCAAATATATTCGACATTAATTTTTAATAATTATCATTTATCTTTTTATAGACTTGGTTAATAAACGATTTTACCTACATCTTATAAAAAAAAATTAATGCATACAATTAATATTTTCAATACAACAAACCATACGGTGATTGATCTCAAATTGCTTAAATCTAAATTATTTATATAGTCCAGTCAAATAGCGTAGATATCTAGCAAAAACAGAGAGCAATGTTTTTTTAATCCGATTGAAAATGGAGGTTAAATGGGGTTAAAATTAAACAAAAATAATTAGAAATGAAATCAATTTAAAACATCAACCTGAAATTTTAGTAAAAATTAAGCTTTAAGGGGATGATGCTATTAATTCTGAATAAAAATGGGGGTTGAAATATTTAAACAAAATCCTAACTCGGAAACAAAAAACAGACATACAGACAGGCAAAAAAGAAAAGTTCTTGTTTCTAAATAGCACAGAAAATAACATAGTTTTTTTCTTGTGAAACAAACGTTAGAAATTTGTGTGAGATGAGCCACATATATATGGATGGCACATTTTCATATTGTGCTAAGTATTTTTTGCAACTATTTACTAATCACGGACTGAAAAACGGGTATTACATCCCGTTGGTGTACTGTCTTTTGCCAGATAAACGCCGTGAAACATATGTAAAACTATTTAAAGTTTTGACTGAAAAAATTATGGAAAAATACTGTCTTCATTTTCAACCATCTGAAGTGTGTTTGGATTTTGAAAAGGTGATCCACAGTGCAGTAAGTATTACATGGCCGTCAATAAAAATTGATGGATGCTGTTTCCATTTACATCAAGCCTGGTATCGAAAAATTCAGAATTTAGGAGTTACATAGATGCTGTTGACAAGTTCGCAGATTATCTGCTGGATACTTTTATAGACGATAATACAGATTTCCCACCACAAATTTGGGCTAAGGCAAGTGCATTAAATATTCATACCACAAATGCATGCGAATTTTATGCTACCCATCCATCTATTTACATTTTTATCGAAAAACTTAAGGAATTTCAGGTGGATACGTATGTTAAAATTCAAAGTGTTAATGTACCTAATAAAATTAAAGATAATGTGACAAAACGAAAATTACAAACTTCTAACACAATGAAGTGTGTGTCGTATTATTCATCTGTAAATAGAAATTTGTAATACTTAAAAATTAATAAAATAAAATTAGTTTGTAGGTATAAGTTATTTTTTTTATGTATAAAATTTGTAAAAATATTTAAAAAAATTAATATGTTATTGCATTAAGAAGATGCATTTTTTGTTTCACTTTCAATAAAATTAGTGTTATTTTTGTATGTATGAAGTTTGTAAAAATATTTAATAAAAGGTGTACAATTTGAAGCTTGTATAAATTACTATTAATATTAGTGGTGCCCAAAATTCATAAGCTATTTAGCAGGTACAAATACTACTGGTGCCCAAAATAGTTATCGGATTAAATGGCGAGGTAGCCTGGTGCCCATATTACATCCGCCCATCCTGAAAGGCATTTTACAAAAAAAAAAGGTATCAATAGTTCAACGTATTTTTAAAAATAAAAATTTTGATTTGGCAACAACGGTATAATTAATCTGAACTTTGTCGCCGTGATTTTTTCTTGCAAAAAGTTATTAGAAAAAAACAGTTACAAAAGGTATTTTTGATTTTTTTTTTTCGTTTTTTTTTTACAATTATGATTATAGACAATTATTTTCGAAAAAGAAAAAAAAATTGTCGTAGTTTTTAATTATGTGCAAAATTATTGAAAATTGTTTTAAAAATAAATAAAAAGAAATTTGTGAATTGATTTGTCAAAGAATTTTGGAATTGTCAGAATGGATATAAAAAAGGTTTTTAAAAGTTAGTTGTATTCAAAATTGTTTAGAAAAAAAGTTGAATAGAAACAAAAGATCAGAAAACGAGGGGTTTGGAAGGAAACTGAGGAAGTAGAGGTGTAGGTATACGAAAAAAAGGCAAAGGGGAACAAATATTCATGCGAAGTTTAGAGATAATGCAGTAGGAATAGAGCAAGTAGCTATAGAACAATAGGAAAAGGGAGGTTAACAGTTTTTAAGAATAAAAATATTTGTTAAACATTTTCAGAAATTGAACACACTCAAGTAGATATTTAGAAATTGAGAGTTTTTCATATTTTATCAATATACATACTATACAAATCAAGTTACCAAAAATTAACTAGCTCCATGTATCGTTTTCTTTGTTTTTAGTCTATTTATAGTTAAAACCAACGTTTTTTGCTGATTGAAACATTTCTATCCATAGTTCCACTTGTGAAAGTATTAACATTGTTGAAAAGAAGTATGTTATAATATCAGGTCATCAGTTATCTAAAAGAAACCTTCATAACTTCAGTAGTAACCCTACAACAATATCAGTGACCTATTTGACAGAACTAATACTTATTAAAGTCACTAAAAACAGCCATTTTAATTAAATTTCTTATTTTATCAGATCACCTGGATTGTTGCAGATTCATCATATTAAGACATTAAAATTGATGACAAAATAAGTCGGAAGATAGCACCTCGTTAAAACAATAAACCGTCTATTATTCTTATTTAATATTATTTGCAGACATATCTTTAATTGAAAAATTCATGTCGCACAAATTGAACCTTTACATCATCCCCTAAATAATTGACCGCACTTAAAAATGTTATCAAACAATTTCCAGTCGAGACCAAAAGGAAACTTCTCATTTATATATACTCATCATTTGGGTCGTGCTGTGGTACGAAGTCCAAAGGTTGTCTTATAGTTTAAAGCTTAATGAAACCAGATATAAATTAGGTATTAAGGTGACATGTAACAATACATACAGATATGTATAATATAAAATGATGTAGGTAACTCCAATAATGCGTCATTTTTTATTTTGATATCGAACATACGTTTTGCGTAACATGTGTTTGAATTAGGATCGATTTTTGGGGGTTACAGATATAGATGAATTAAAGTGATGCCTGTTAATTAGAACAATCTGTAATTTCAATAATTTTTTCAACTGTCAGTAACTTTTGCTACTATTTGAAAATGTCATTTTTAAATCTAACAAACGAAAAATAAAATCTTAGATAATATACTTACGCGGGTTTCGGATTAAAAATTTTATGAGTATTTCCAGGTAAGTACCCGAAAGTTTGACCTGTTCTTTGGGAAAATATCAACTGGTTAAATGAAATGAAAAATAATGTACAACTTTTTAATTAAATAATAATGGAGAATCTTTTTTATAATTAAGAGCAGAAATAAACTTCTTCATTAATGGAGTCTAATGTGGCTATTATAAACCTAATAATAATAATAATAATTTTATATTACACTTCACACAGAAAATATGGTCTATGTATAATAAGATGGTTATTTAGCTCAAATGAAATATTTTCTAACATTTGGACTTATTTCGTTTATTTTATTTTCACAAGTCCACCAATCTTCTATTAGTTTCTCGCACTTGGATATACAGTTCCGCCACACTTCTGGAGTTGCAATTGAAAGTGCTTTTTGCCAAGTTTCCCGAACTGCGTCGTCACTATAACCATTAGGCCCAATATGGTTGTCATATTGGGCCTAATAATCTGATCCACAACAAAGGTTTTTGGTTTTGCGTAATAATTCTGATTTTAATATATATTGAGGAAATGGTATATGTTCCTTTGTCAACCATTCTTTAATTTTATAAACGGTCCAAGAATTCGTTGGACTTCTGTTTAATACTTCAGAATGGTAAGGTGCATTGAAAATAATTACGCTGGGCTCACTTAAACCTGGGAGAAGTTTTTCATGCAACCATTTTACAAACATTTCTGTGTTCATATTATCGTAAAAGTCACTGGATTTTGATTTAGATGAAAATATTAAATCAGCACCTTCTATAAAACAAGATTTTCCTTCCTGCATGTAAAATTATGTGTCGCTTCCCTTCTCCATCGGTATGTTTAATGGACTTTACGTTATCATCTTGCCATATTCTCTTGGTTGCAC